TATTAATTTAAGAAAACTAAAGATTGATCCTAGGAGAAAGTTCATCAGACTAGGTTTTCCTATCTTAGGAGAAAAATTCATCAGACTAAGATTTAGATCCTAGGAGAAAGTTCATCAGACTAGGTCCCTTTTTGTTATCTTAGGAGAAAGATTCATCAGACTAAGATTTTGATCTTAGGAGAAAGTTCATTAGATTAGGTCTGTTTGTTATCTTAGGAGAAAAATTCATCAGACTAAAATTTTGACCCTATGAGAACATTCATCAGACTAGGTCCCTTTTTGTTATCTTAGAAGAAACATTCATCAGACTAAGATTTTGATCCTAGGAGAAAATTCATCAGACTAGGATTTTGATCCTAGGAGAAAATTCATCAGACTAGGTCTCTTATCTTAGGAGAAAGATTTATCAGATTAAGATTTTGATCCTAGGAGAAAATTTATCAGACTAGGTCTCTTTTTTTTGTTATCTTAGGAGAAAGATTTATCAGACTAAGATTTCTATCCTAGGAGAAAAATTCATCAGACTAGGTTTTCTATCTTAGGAGAAAAATTCATCAAACTAAGATTTCTATTGGAAGGAAAATCCATCAGACTAGGACTCTTTATCCTAGGAGGAAAAAATGTGAAAAGCAATGGCAGCATTTTATGCACAATAGCAAGACAGGTAAGGGCAAAGATTTGAGAAACTTCCCTTTGTCGGCTCTTCTCTTCTTCTTTCTTATTTTTCTTTTCTTTTCTTTTTTTTCTTTCTTGTTTTTGAACCAACTTGCTTGCACTGCTTTGTTCCTGTTTCAAACAAAGAAAACTTGTGAGTTTAAATGTGGTGGTCAGTTTATGGCCTTGACCTTGAGGGCGACTTCTTCTACACTTGCCAAGATAACTTTGATTTCAACTTGGACGACCTTGATTGTTATCGACTACCCATTTTCTTTCAACCCTTATCACAAAAAAACACCTCCGCTCCATTCGATCTCAATATCGTCTATCTATTGCATTATGCTTATGAATTGATATTTACCGAACCCTTGCATTTCACATGAATCCCAAAGCAAGTTGATTGTTACCGACTCAGTGCGCATACCACTTTTCCCTGACTTATGCCACTTTGATGCGCTAGCCAAATTTGTTTTGTGTAATTGGAAAGCTGGTAGCAAATTTTGAAGTCATTTCTCACTTGTTCTGACCAAACAGACTCAAGAAGGGACTCAAACAAAACAAGATGAACAAAATAAGGGACAAGGGAAAGAGATGATACCTAACAGGAAAATTACAAAGTAGAAACTTATCAGATGTGGATACCAACTCTAATGACCATGACATTCACCTTTGGATTAAGTGGCCTAATCTCTCAAGCGAGTCTAATATTTCACTCTTGTTGTACCTCTTCGCTGTGAAACTGGGCTTCAACGCTTCCATTGTCCCATTTGATCCACAAGCCCTAGTCGACTTGTAGTGCCCTGAAGGGTTTTCACTATCAAGTCTCTCTCATTTTTTGCTTTTTTCCTCAACTCACTGTCGCCTTATGGTGCCCATGAGGGTTTTCACCGATAAGACTCTCTTATTTATCATTTTCTCTCTTTGCGATGAGAACAAGGTATTACCCATGATATAGGAAGATCATACTTTCACCACACTTGATTTGGCATCCTCAAAGATTGGTCGGAAGGTCTTTCATTGGACCGTAATGTAGGCTTTTGGACAGGGTTAGAAAGAAAGGGTGGCATGAAGACTCAAAATAATTTAAGATGAAAGGGTTCAAAATTAGAACTTTTGGAATCAGGTCTTTTGGCAAAATTAAAACCTCTGCCCAGTTTCTTGGAGTTTGGGGGATTTTTTTTTTATTTTTTTTTATTTTTGCTTTGATGAAAATTTCTAAGAAAGACTACCCCACTCTTGGCTTTGTGGGATTATGAAATATTTTATCTGGTGCAACCGAACCGTAAGGCTGCCTACATATCTTGAGGTGACAAGAATCAAGTCGAACGTAGTTCAAATGACAAAATTGTTTTTTTTCTTTTCCTTTTCTTTTTTTTTCTTTTTCCTTTTTTCTTTTTATCTTTTCCTTTTTTTCCTTCTTTATATCTTTTTCTTTTTCTTTTCTAGTTCCTAACTCTATTTCTGATTTCAAAAGACGGATATGAAACAAAAAATTAGGGCTCAAAATGGGTAGCAAAATAAAATGTCTTCGTCATACCAAACTTAAAAATGCCAAGTACAAACATGCAATTGAAGATAAGCAAACAAATCACACATAGTATCTATTGATGGCATCAACACAAATAAAAAGTGCCAATGGGCAATACCTTTGTCCCAATGAATGACCCTTGCCAGTTCGAAGCAGACTTGATTCAACCTTATCTTGGTGTGGAAGAATGCATTTCAGCACTGACTGATTTACCTAAAATTGCTTGAGAGGCATTTCCTTGTTGTACGCTCTTATCAACCTCTTGATTTCCTAGACTTACTACCTCAGTTTCACTCTATTCAAAGTTTAGGTCATCTCAGAATGTGTGAATCTTTAATTGTTTCCTCAAACGCATCCTTTTATCATATTCAAAAACTGTGTCATTGCTTCATGATTAGACTAACTTTCAAGATCAGGCTAAGAATTATGTGTGCATGTCATGTCACTAGAGTCAGCATGAAAAAAACTATGAAAGGAAAAATGACCTAAACAAAACTGATTAGAACTAACAAAAAATAGGAGATTGCATTAGACAAATGATGAAAAGGGTTTGAATAAGACAAGCAAAATAGACATGGGTTACAACCCTGGAACAATCCTAAATAACATTAGACGTGTTACTACAACTAAACGAACTAGACAAAATGAGAAGAAGAATTTGAGCCACAAGACAATATCCGAATTACAACCCTGAAATAACCCGGACAACAGAAATGACAACCAAAATAAACCACCAAAACTCCTCACTGGCTAGCCAAAAAAGGAGTTTCTTTCCAATTACCAAGCTCAAAATCTTATCCATTGGGTTGCACATCAAGATTACTAGGAACTTCACCAATTCCCATCATGTTGACCATAGCAAAAGCTTTTGGGTCCCTTTATCCAACTCGTCCTTAAGATAAACCTCTGGAACCAAGACTGATAGAGTTGAACACTTTGTGGTAAGTGGACCTCCAAGGGATTCAGGACAGTTCTCATATTCCCTTTCCACACAAATCATGTCCACCATATGCATCTCATTATGAACAGGTAATGGACTTTGGCTAGTATCTGCTGCATTTGGATGTTGCACGGTAATGTCACCTGCATCAATAAACTTCTAGACTGCTCTTTTTAGATGCCAACACTTTTCTATGTTGTGCCCCGAGGCATTAGAGCAATATGCGCACCTTTGAGAAAAATCAAAATTCTTTGGAAGGAGCTTCGGCATTTTTATCTGAATCAGCTTCAATATATCCAATCGCCTCAGCTTTTGGAACAAACTGGCATGTGATTCTCCTATTGGAGTGAAAGACTTTTCTCTTTGTTGTTGCCTTCTCATTTTGTACTCCGGCCTTGGTTGGAACCTCTTTCAGGTAGGGGGTTGATATGCTTGTAGAGATGGTTAAGACATTTGTGGAGGTGGTGCAAGCCGTTGCGGGTTTTTTGGGTGTGAAGCATATGGCGGTGCATTGTGGATAGAGTACTGGGGAGGTAGGTATGACTTTGGGGATTTTGTGGAGGTAGCATTAGGGAGGATTATTTGGAGTATGAGAATATTTATGGGGTCAGTATTGAGGCTGGAAGCATTTAGCAGGAATGCTCACTGGATTCTGTTGTTGGCTGGGCTCGACAACATCTTTTCTATTAATCGAAGAATTGATCCCAACAACTTGTTCGTTCCATCTGAACCAAAAATCCCTAAAGCCTTCCTTGGGTTTATTTTCCATCTGATATATGGAGGAGCGATTTGGGATAATGTCTATATTGTACTGATAGTGCCAAACAAAATCTTGAGCCAGGTCACCCCATACATGCCACGTACTAGCGTCTTGACGGGTATACCACTGTAGAGCTACCCCACTCAGACTCTGACTGAAATATGCCATCAATACTTCATCTTTCTCGCAAGCACTTCTCATTTTACTGTAATAACCCCTCAGATGGGCTACTGGATCTCCACGTCCATCATATAAATTAAGCTTTGACATTTTAGACCCTTTCAACATTTTGGATATCTCATCATGCTCCACTATCTTAGTAGGCTTTGTAGTTTCACCGGGAGGCTCAAAATGAGGAGCGTAAGAGTATGGACACGAGACTTTGAAAGCTAGTTCTGGAGCATAGTGTTGGACATCTGGAGCTTGGAATATAGTCTCGCTAGAGGATCGAGGAAAACTAGCTGGTGGATGAGCTACAAAAACACGAGTGGTAAAAGGAGTGGGATATGATGTGCTTTTGAGGGGTGGAGTGTGAAAAGGTTCTAGGGAGATATCAGCAGCAGTGGAAACCTGGGCTTGTAATAGTGGTGGGATAGTTGCAGGGTTTTTAGTGTAATTAGTGGTGAATGAAGGTGGAGGATGCCCCCTAATCCAAGACTGATACATTTCTGCCATCTGCTGTTTCAACCTTTGGATCTCATCTTTCAATTCAGACTCCGACTCCACAAACTCCCTTGGTGGGTCTACAACCCCAGTGTCTGTTTCCTTGCTATCCATTGCTACCTTGCTCTTTGACCTTATGTTGTACAGATGACTCGCCGAAATGCCACAAACTAACCACCCTATATTATGATAACAATGAAAGTAACAAATAGGAGCAAAACAAAGACAACACGTTTGCTTTAGGGCATTTATCAGATAGAAATATCACATTACGTGCAATGCCCCTAATCACAGTTAACAGTTCTAGAATGGCTTCGAGGGTACGGAGGTCGTATGGCATCATCCCAATTTCACTCTTCTTGGCCCATTTCCTTCTTCATTTTCCCAATTTCATGAATCAGATCAAGCGTAGTTCTGGAAAGTAACAAACAAAATAAACTAAGAAACAAAAATCTTTTTGAATTTTCCATTTATAACTTCTTTTTTTCAAATACAATACATGAAGTACTATAACAAAAGACTCGAAAATCTTAACTAGACTGACAGACTCAATATAACTGTACAAGACTAATAATTAAAGACAACATAAAATAGACTAAAAAAATAAAATGTTTCCTCAAGCAGCTCGTGCATGCAATGGTCTTGACTAGAATGGTCCTGGGGTATTTGTCATGCTCAAACTCTAGCAAATTGATCCATACCTGAATGGGAAAATTAAGATCAAATAGAGTTAGTGACTCAAGACACATGTGACTCCACGACACCTTCTATTGGCACATGCAAGGCATGATTAAGGCTATATTTGCAAAATGACCTACGTAGCCAAAATGTGACTATTAGCACAAACTCAACAAAGATGACCTCAAAAATATGGACATACCTCCCTAAGGCTTATATAGATTCAAACTCCCAATAATCATGGCCCAATATTAATTTGCAAAAATGACCCATTTTGCAAAAAATGACCGATATGGTCAAAAGTGGCTAAAGATGCAAACTCAAAAAGGAAGGACCATAAAGTAATATGAAACCTATTTGTGGACTCAAAATCCTACGACATGGGTAATTGAACCACTTTTGCGAAAATGACCCCATTTTGCAACAATGGTCGATATGGCCAAAAGTGGCTAGACACGCAAATTCAACAGGAATGGACATACCTTGTTGTGGGCTTAGGACTCTAATACATGGGTTAACAAGCCATTTTGTGAAAATATCCCTATTTTGCAAAAACAACCGATGTGACCAAACGTGGCTAGACATGCAAGATTTGGCTAAGACCCCGCGAAGCCAAGAACCTAAGACACTAGGAAGACTGGACCCTATGTGGGCTGCCTATGTATCACGCCCTGAAAGACGAGAATCAAGTATACTTAGTTCGGGAAGATTGGACATGGGAAAATGCCTTTTTCTTTAAAAATGCAACTAATTTGGAAAACTCATATTTTTTGTCTTTTTGAGAAATGATGAAAAATGTAAAATCTTTTGGATTTTCGTTGATTGATTTTTTTTTATTTTTTGGAAAATGAGGGGAAAGTGCAAAATTGGATTTTTTTTTTTTGAAAAAGTTGTGAAAGAAAATATAATTCAGCCCTACTTGCTTCGTTTTCACCCTTCTTTCCGAAACATCGGTCTGCCAAATGAACTTTTTACCTTCAAAGATGCAACATGTAGAACATAGGGATGATTAAATGTCTTTTTGGGCCATAAGCTCATTTTAACATAATTTGGATAGGCCTCCTACAACGGGACACGGTGCCTGGGGGCGAACCCTTCTAGGTTTAAATAATATGATGCACATAAGCATGACCTAAAGGTTGACCTACGGTTGAGGTTCACTAGACAAGGCAATTCGGGGCGGCACGTGGTCGATGGCAGCTGCTCTAGCTGTCCGCCCACTCCACGCTCCCACGCCACCCCCTAAAGACACGAATGACTCACAAAAGGTCGTGTATGCTCAAACGTACTCCGGAAAAATTGTTGTAGAAAGAAGACTCATGGTTATGCAAATGATGACAGTTTATAAAGTAGTAACAAATAAAGAAAAGAGATAAACAAATAACCAAAAAAATAAGTAAATAAGACAAACAAACCAGATAAACAAAGCAAATAAAAAACAAACACCTCAATCGAATATCCTAAAAGCCAACAAGATCAAATAACATCTCGAACCTGCAACTCCCCAGCAGAGTCGCCAGAGCTGTCACACCCTTTTTTTTACAAACCCACTAACCCTCTTAAATTAATAAAAAAATTTGTAAAGCTCAAAAAGGTTTTTAATTAAAAAGTGACAAAATTGTGTTCAAAAGGAAATAACTCAGAGTCACCAGACATTGTTTTGGTGTGCCAGGTCACCATTTAAAAAAAATTCCTTTTAAAACACTTTGGACTCCAAATTAAGTCAGCACTTGAGATTCGGGTAAGTGGGTTCATTTGACTCGGGGAGAAGGTGTTAGGCATTCCCCGAGTCCCGTAACTAGTACGGTTGCATACTTGATCTAGTTGGCTTTCAGAATTCAAATTGAGGTAAAAATAAAAATGAAAAAAGCAAAATAAACACACACGAGGCTCGAGGTCGTTCCCACCCAATAAAAGAAAAAAAAAATAAAATACTACAAGTTCTACTTTCGGCCTCCAAATACAAATACTTTGGGGCATACCCCGGACAAAATATATACAAATCCTTCAGGGCATTCCCCGGATAAATTTAACTAAGGAAACAACCTCTTGCCTCAAAACTAACAAAATCCTAAAGCTTGCCTACCCAAGTGTGGTCGTCCTAAGCATGCTCCTAGCAGGCCGATTTAAATAAATAACAAGAAATAAATTATCCTATGAATGTTTATTCTTAAACCCTAAATTTCTAATATACGAGCCTAATTCCCATGGTACATGTTCACTATTTGAACCACCAACCAATCCAATTAATCATTTAATTAAATTCTTCTGTCATCAGCATAGTAACCGGAAGGCCTTATCTCTTAATGAAGTAGTGAAACCATGGAATCAAGAACCCATTTTAGCCGTCAAACCCATCCAAACACATTTACTAGAGAATCAGACAATATTGAACAATAATCAGTAAAATGGAACACCAAATATCACCAAGACACTCAAGACTAGAACAATCATATTCTAACTCATTTAATCAGCGAAACAAAGCAAAGACAGACTAAGGAAACGAAGGAATCATGATATTAATTAAGCAAAACAGAATAGAATAAAAAGGAAATCAACCTCAAACGAATTTGACAATTAATCGTGAGGCGACGTTGAACTCAAAAATGCGACAAACCCAGGATGAACCTCGAATCAGTCTCGACTTAACTCCATTTTTAACTTCTGTCCAGATTTTTGTCCGTGTTCCCAACTGTGGTGGTTGTGTTGCGGCTGATTTGGTGGTTTTGAGATGGGTCGTTTGTGTTGGGCTGCTGCCAGAGGCTGTGCATTTGGAGTAGGGGCTAGGGCAATCAGCTGCTGGTGGCGTGGTTAGTGAAGGTGTAGATGATGGGGCTTGGCTATGGCGGTGATGGAGTTAGGGTTGGTTGCCGGCGGTTTGTAAAGTGAGGGAGATGGGGCAAATGGGATGGTTTGCGACTGGTTTGGTGAAAAGAGTTCTGGAGGCAGGGGCATACTGGTTTTGGAGAAGATGAGGTCGGTGGCGGTTTTGGGTTGGGATGGTGTGACGACGCTAGGAGCTTGGTCTCTTAGTGTTGGTGGAGTATGGGCGGCTGGATGGTTTTTTGGTAGTGTCGATGATGGTTAAGCGATAGAGAGGAGGGGTCTTGGGCGGCTGGTCCGTTTTTTGCTCTCTAGGTATTTTGTTGTAGTCTAGCTGAAGAAGAAGAAGAAGGCAGCCATGAGTGTCCAATAAGGGTTCAGCTAGGGTCTTCTCTTCTATATCTGATGGGGTTATGGGCTTTGGGTTTATGAAAGGTAAGGGAGGTTAGGCTTCAAATTTGGGCTTTAACATTGGGCTAAAAATAAATGTCCAAATCTTATTTAAGTTCCTTTTAATATAAGATAAATATACTACATAATGCAAAAATTAATCTGATTAATTAAACCAAATTATATATAAAATATGAAACTATTTTTGGTATTTTCAAAAATTATATTAAAATAAAATAGGTTCAAAGTAATATATCCTTCTAAAATATCTAAAGCATGAATTAAATAGAGAAATATGGAACAATTTTTGTAATTTTCAATTTTGTTCTTAAAATAAAGTAAATGAGTCAAAACTAATTAAAATAACGATACTAGACCTAAACTAAATATTTAAATACTAAAATATGTAAAATCTTGGGTCAAAAATTACATGTCTACATTTCTTAATCTACTGTTGCGGAATAAATAATGCAGAAATTAAAGAACACAAGTATTTTTACGTGAAAAACACCTGACTCAAAAGGTAAAAAAAGCCACGACCTATACCAGTAAGATTTTCCCCAAAACATCACTACATCTCTAAGCCAAACAACAATATTTACAAATCTCTTGTGAATCTAAGGATTAAACTCTAACCTTTGTAGCAACAAGCCATAGGGTGTTGCGACTGATTTAAGTTAACTCTAACTTGAATAATACAACTCAAGTACGTAGTACAAATGCTTCTAAGGTACAACTTAAAAGCACATACTACAATTGAACTACAATAAAAGACAAAAATGGAACTAGTTATTCTATCTAGTTCATGTAGCTTCAGGTTCGTACTCTTGAAACACATGAATTGCTTGTAAAATGCCTTGATATTTTGTGCTCAATTATTGCGTAACTTCAGCGTGTGTTCGTACCTGCAAAAGATAACACAATTGATATTTGTAGAGTTAGTAAAATAAGGATTAACTAGAGTTCTAATGTTTTACTCCTTTCTTAGTGGAAGACAGTACTAGAAATCTGGGAATTAGCGACCAAAGTTGGTTGGTCAAAAAAAATGACCAACATTGGTCGCTAATGTGGAGAAAATTATTAAATAATTATTTTAAATAATTTAGCGACCAAGGTTGGTCGCTTTTTGGTCGGTAAAGTGGTCAACATGTTGACTAGGCTAGTCAGACTTGCTTAGTCAAAGAAATATTGAAATTAGTGACCAACTTTGGTCGCTAATGTGGGACCCAATTATAGCGTTTTAATAATTATATTATTATTAAAAATATTTTATAAAATATAAATAAATAATATTTAAAATTGGCGACCAAAGTTGGTCGGTTATGAAAGGGGAAGCAAGTAGCGACCAACTTTGGTCGCTATTTTGCGGCCCATTTCTAACGTTTAATAATTATATTATTATTTAAAATATTTTATAAAATATAAATAAATCTTATTTAAAATTACCGACCAACGTTGGTCGCTATTTTTTAATTTTGGATGATTATTGACCAACGTTGGTCTCTTTTCAGGTCAACATTTGTCAAAATTAAAAATCACTTTTGTATTTACTATCTAAATAATATAAATGTAATCCGTTAACAC